GCGCCGCGGATGGTCGAAAGGCGATGCGCGATGGTGATCGTCGTCTGGCGCAGTCCCTCCGCACTGCGGGCCGTCAATGCGTCCAGTGCCGCCTGCACCACCTTCTCGCTCTCATTGTCAAGCGCCGACGTCGCCTCGTCGAGCAGCATGATGGCCGGTTTGCGCACAATCGCTCGCGCGATGGCCACCCGCTGCTTCTGACCGCCCGAGAGGTGCCCTCCCCGCAGTCCCACCTGCGTGTCGTAGCCCTCGCTGAGATCGGCTGTGATGAAGCCGTGCGCGTTCGCCTGCCGCGCCGCCTCCTCCACCTCCTCCTGCGACGCCCCCTGCTTGCCGTACCGGATGTTTTCCGCTACGCTGCCCTGGAAGAGGATCGGCTCCTGCCCCACCAGCCCGAGCTGCGAGCGGAGCCAGCGCAGATTGAGCGTGCGGATGTCACGGCCGTCGAGCAGGACGGCGCCCGCCTGAGGGTCATAGAAGCGCTGCAGCAGCGCGACGATCGTGCTCTTGCCGGAGCCGCTCGGGCCGACCAGCGCACACGACGTGCCCGCCGCGATCTGCAGGGAGTAGCCGCGGCACACCCACAAGTCTGGCCGAGTCGGGTACGCGAAGCGCACGTCGCGCACCTCAATCGCACCGCGAACCTCGTCCAACCGCTCGCCGTCTGGCGAAGAAGGATCGCGGAGTGAGACGCGCTCAATGCGTGCAAACAGCTGCGTTGCCGCGTCCTTGCCCGCCTTGGCGTCTATGGCGACCGCGGCGTTCGAGCCGATGGCGAGAAGGAAGCCGACGATGGAGAACATCGGCACAAACATCCTGCCAATGTCGATCGACGGGATGGGGCAGCTGTCATTGCCCGTGAAGAGGCTCTCAGCGTTGTTCTCGATGACCCAAAAGGCGTAGTATAGCACAACCCCAAATATCGCAACGGCGCCAGCCTGGCCAATCGCCATGCACATACTGCCGACGTACATGCGCCAGCCCGTCACGCGCCGGCGCTCCTCGGCGACGGCTGCAGAGTATCTCTCCAGCACTCGCTCCTCGGCGTTGAAGGACGCGACGGTCTTGATTGCGCCAACCACCTCGCCCACGAGAGCACCTGCGGTGCGCGATCCCTCGCTCTCGTCGCCATCGGCGCCCTGCGCCTTGTGCCGCTCCTCCTGCGACCCGGTGATCACCTGCCCGACGACGAGAAAGACGATGAACGGCAAGTAGCCGCCGATAAAAATGAGAAGTACGCGCCACTCGCCAAGGTCCGACACCGAAACGCCGACTGCAGTGAAAAGGGTGGCAATCAGCACGATGAGGCCCTGCAGGTTATCCTGCACGACGCCCTGCACCAGAGAAACGCGGGATGCGAGGAAGGCGGTGAGCGCACCAACCTACGGGACAGGAGAGAGGAACGGTGAGCCAGAGCTGCTGCGGAGGTTGCCTCACCTCGATCGCGCGAGGGCACCGAATTGCTGTCCTCATCAAAATAGCCCATGTCCTGACGCAGCAGCTTTTGCAACGTCAGCACGCGCAGGCGTCTGGTTAAGGCCTCCCCCGAAACCGCGAACTGGGTCTTGTACAGCGTCTCGAAAATGTGAATGAATGCGCCGAGGCTTATGGCGAGCACGCCCCAAAACACGACTATCGACTCGAGGGCGTCGGGGTCGTACTCGTCGCGGAAGGGGAAGGTCGCGTGCGTGAGCACAGCCCCCATAAACCCGGCAGCACACCCGCACAGTGCGGATGCGACGAACCCAAAAGCGAGCCTCATCTTGTTGCGGCGCGAGTAGAGGCTGATCAGGCGCTTCACGGCGCTCGCCGGCCTCTCCTTGGCCTCGAGCACGCCCGCTGCTTCATCTTCTGCCGACGGCTGTGCATCCGTCGCCGTGGTGTGCGTTTGCGCCGCGCCCGCCTCGCCGGCGGCGTCGAGGGCTTTTTTCCTCGTCGGCCGAGCAGGACGCCTCGAGGTGGAAAGCGACGCCTCGACCAGCCTGTCCTCTCCGCTGTCCTTCTCCTGCTTAGCGGCCAGACCGTGGAAAAGGCCGCCCTCGCCAATCGCCAGGAGCTCATCGTAGGTGCCTTGCTCGACCACGGCGCCTTTGCAGATGACGGCAATCTTGTCGGCGCCGCGGATGGTCGAAAGGCGATGCGCGATGACGACGCTCGTGGTATGCAGCGCCTGCATGACGTGATCGAGCGCCGCCTGCACCACCTTCTCGCTCTTGTTGTCGAGCGCCGACGTCGCCTCGTCGAGCAGCAACACCGCCGGCTGCTTAATAATCGCTCGCGCGATGGCCACCCGCTGCTTCTGTCCCCCGGAAAGCTTGGAGCCGCTCTGTCCTACCTGCGTGTCGTAGCCCTCGCTGAGATCGGCTGTGATGAAGCCGTGCGCGTTCGCCTGCCGCGCCGCCTCCTCCACCTCCTCCTGCGACGCCCCCTGCTTGCCGTACCGGATGTTTTCCGCTACGCTGCCCTGGAAGAGGATCGGCTCCTGCCCCACCAGCCCGAGCTGCGAGCGGAGCCAGCGCAGATTGAGCGTGCGGATGTCACGGCCGTCGAGCAGGACGGCGCCCGCCTGAGGGTCATAGAAGCGCTGCAGCAGCGCGACGATCGTGCTCTTGCCGGAGCCGCTCGGGCCGACCAGCGCACA